TAGAGAAAACCCCCCTGTGATATATATACTAGCAAAAACCCCCCTGTGAAATTATTTAAATAGCACACTCGGCGCATTACTTATATAAGTGTGGCCTTCATATAAAAAGACACAAATACCCCCGGGAGTTTGCAAATAATAAATTCTTAATTTTTTTAAATATATTAATTATTTTTTTTTGTTATATCTTAATTATAAAGGTACAATGGGGTCTCTAATATATTTTCTAGTTTTATTATCACATAATTTTTGTATATATTTTAAATTATCCCCACATCAAAAGAAAACTTAAGTTCCATTATTATGTATTTAAAAAAATATTTACTTAATTTGATTAAAAAAATATAATAATTTTTCAATATAATTATTTACTATTTTTAGCAATATTTTAATTTCTAAACACTCAAATTAAGAAGAAAATATATATACATGTAATATATATATATATATATATATATATATATATATATATATATATATATATATATATATATATATATAAATACATTTTTAGGGTCAATTTCGTCATTTCACGTCCAAAACCAACTACAAGTCGCGCAACCCGCGAGTGAGCCACACATTAGTCAACCAGGGGTGTTTTTGCTATTTAGAGATTACACAGGGGTACTTTTTACAGTTTACTCACACACACATATATATATATATATTCACCCTTTACATCAATTTGTACATTAGTCATTAAGTTTATAGAAAATGTTATTACAAGAAAATTTCGAAAATTAATTAATGTGAACATTGCTCTTTGTGATACACAAGATTATTAAAATAATTGTTATTGTTTATAAAACATAGTTGATAATAAAAATATTAGCTAAATGGCATCCTAAATAATGTTCAAAATACAAAATTTTCAACAAAAATAAATTAAAACGAGCGTAAATCAAATATGTGTAAAAAAAATTAAGTAGAAAGAACCTTACTTATAAGAGTAATCAATGAATTTCACCACTAATTAAAATTATCAAATTTTTAGATTTAGCCAATTTGTAAATTCACCTATAAAATGGTTTTGTAATCACATTGTCAAATATATAAATTTAATTTAAAATTATAAGAAAATTAAAATGGAGAAGAAGGTTTCTGCACTAGTCCTCTTACTCTTACTCGTCTTGGTTGGTAAGTTTCTTCCGAATATTCACTTTATTAATAATAATAATAATAATTAATTAATTAATTGTATATACAGATGAATTCATGGTACAAAGTGAAGCAAGAATATGCTATTCAAAGAGTAGAAAATACAGAGGGAGATGTTTCTTCAGGAGCCAGGTGGCCAATTGCAGATCTATCTGCAAACGTGAGAAGCACTATTGTTAATCTGTTGATTATCAGATTAGAAGAAGAGAACGAAGGAGTTGGAGAGAAGAGGGAAATTGTTATTCATCCAACAGAAATATAAAATGTTACCGTTACAAGATAGGTGAATTGAGTATTTATACTCAATCACATAAAAACGTGTTTGTAACTAAAAGCAAGAAGTGCTATTTGTAAAATAACAACTTCTATATGAAAGTAAAACTATACCTACGTTTATCAATCTAAGATATATTGTATATATATTTACACCCCCCCCTCAAGATGGAGAGTAAACATCCTTAACTCCCATCTTGACCAGAAGATAGTTGAAACTTGAAGAAGGTAAAGCCTTGGTGAACAAATCGGCCAATTGATCTTTGCTTGAAACTGGCATGAGCTTTAAAATGCCAGACACAACTCTTTGTCTCACAAAATGGCAGTCAATTTCGATGTGCTTAGTCCTTTCATGAAATGTTGGATTGGAAGCAATGTGCACAGCAGCAAGATTATCACAGAACAGAAGAGATGACTTAATAGGTATGTGGAAATCCTGAAGAAGTTGAAGAATCCAGATGAGCTCACTGGAAGTCATGGATAAAGCCCTGTACTCAGCTTCTGCAGAACTCTTGGACACAGTAGCTTGCTTCTTTGCTTTCCAAGATATGAGAGAATCACCAATGAAGACACAAAATCCTGTGGTGGACTTCCTAGTGTCTGGACATGAGCCCCAATCTGCATCTGCAAAAGATTTAACAGTGAGAGAGGATTTTGCAGAATAAAAAATGCCCTTACCAGGAGAAGACTTGAGATATCTCAAGATGTGATGAATGGCATGAAGATGAGGCACCCTAGGCTTGGAAACATATTGACTGAGCTTATGCACAGCATAAGTAATATCTGGCCTTGTAATGGTGAGATAAATAAGCCTACCAACCAGTCTTCTATACTCAGATCCATCCTCAAGCAGATCACCATCTTCATTATTGAGCTGTGCTTTGGGATCCATGGGCAGCAAAGCAGGCTTACAGCCCAAATAACCAGCATCCTCCAATAGCTTAAGAACATACTGCCTTTGAGAGAGAGCAATGCCAGTAGAATTCCTAGCTATCTCAATACCAAGAAAAAACTTTAGCTTTCCCA